GTGTGTGTACGCGTGCAGAGGACGGGAATGTGGACTCGTCTGGGACTCTGGTGGATTTCATACCGCAGAGTTTCCACACTGTAAGAAATGACGTGCTGCTGCAGACGTTGACCCAGAGAGGACGAGAGGATTTTGTCTCCCATTAAAAAATCAAGAAGTTCAGACTGAGGCCAAAAGCAGAGCTTTGTCTGGACTTTAAATCAGATATTTCTGTTTCTGTCGGCTCTTTGAGTTCTTTTCTCCTCGTTTCATAGTTTTGCTCTAACAGGTGTTTTTAGAGGTTAAAATCTCAGCTTGTAAACGTTTCACAGACCTGTCAGTGTTTCATTCTCTCACTGTTGTCTTAAATATGAGACGTTTACTTCTTGTCTCATAGTTTTACTTCAGTAAATCTTATAGTTTTGTTATTTGATTGATTTAGTTTTGGATTTTGAAATCAAACGTTTTGCGTCTGAATTTTGTGTCTCAGTTGTGAAGCAGTGTCAGTGTAATATCTCACATGTTTATATCACAATCTTTTTCTCAGATATTTGACTTTATCTGATTTTTTTCTTGAATTTCTCCCTTTCAGTCGTAGATTTGCATGGATAAGACGTCCTTTTATAATTTTCTTGTGCTTTTTGTTTTGTGATTTTTCTACCTGGGCCTCCGTGTAAACCACCGATTCTCCATCAACTCGTCAGCTGTTTCTAAATGATGTCCAACTCGGTCTTTAACGTGTTCGTATTTGAAGGAAAAGTGCGATGTGTGTTTCTTCTCTGATGAGTAGTTCGTCTTTTCACTCTTCGTGGAACAAACCAGAGACGTTCCTTCTGAATGTGTCATCATGTGAAAATTCTCCAGATCAAACAAACAAACCTGGTATATTTGGTATCTTTGGAAAGTTTTGCTAAAATCTTTCTGTGTTGCTGTTTGCTTGTTTTGGGGTTTGGATGTTGTTTTTGCAGCATGCCTGCTTCTCATAGCTCAGAGAGGCGAACACGGCGACACCTTTGGAAAAAACCCGGAAAACAGGAACAAACACAAGTATTAGTTTGAACTTGAAACTTAAAGAGAAACAGAGTAAAGACATGAGGAGAGTCTGAACGAGCAAACTGTGGATAAAAGGTGATTTAAAAGAAAGTCTGTGTCAGTTTACGTGCAGTGTGGGGACCTGGGTCTTTGAGCAGGTTTATGAGGACATTTCTTGCAGCGTGTGTGTGTGAGATTGTTTTGTCTGCAGCGTCTTATCCCTGCCCTTCACCTGTGCACACAGAGCAGACCTCGTCCATCAGATTTAAAGCAGCACATTCACAAACCTGTGGCTTTGAGGAGTTTACAGTCTGCGGGGATTTTCTGAGTTTAAAGTTTGTTTAGTGAACGCATCGGTGAGAATAAACATCCTCATGAGGGTTTTCCTACAGTTAAGGGACCTGGTTAACACACAGCAACATTCATCATCAAACGTTTTATCGAACAACTTCTAAATACTCGGGACCGCCTCTCTGTGGACTTCCTGCTCCATAGGGGGCGCTGTCGAGCTCAGCAGAAATGGTTCCACCTTTAGATGTTTCACAGGTTTTCTCCTGCAGTAAACACTTTTTGTTAGAGACGTCACAGCACTGCGAGGCGCTTTACAGCGTGAAGCGAGCAGCCTCCTGACAGCGTCGCCTTTACGCTGCTCCTCCTGCACACCTGGAGCTCCTGCTGGGCTTTAACTGTGGAAACACCTGTTCTAAAACCTTAACAGCACAATCAGCACGCGTTAGCAGCATGCTAGTGTTTTATGGTCAGAATTAGCTTCACTGACAGGAACTGAAGGAGGAAGAGTGCTTTTATCCAGGCTGGATTCATGGACGCTAAAATCCAAAGTCTCTGTTTAGCTCACTTTGATCTCACAGCGCCCCCTAGGTGAACTGCAGCTAATGTTTGAGCTCAGCTGGGGACAGGATACAGAGAAACGCCCCCTGCAGGCTGGAGCTATGTTGGCTCTGTGTTGGGATCTGATGTCTGACCTGAACTTTTTGCAGCGTTCTGAGGTCAGACGTGATGTCATGCTTGTGGTTTGGCATAATCACGTGACGCACACGCACAGTGTTTGTGCTCAGCATGAGTCAGTCTGCTGTCACAGAGTTTATTTAAGCTGACATGTTTCCTCGCTGACGGTCTGTCTCACCTGTGCAGGTAGCGGGTAGAAAAGGCTTCCCTCATGTGATCTACGCCCGCCTGTGGCGGTGGCCAGACCTGCACAAGAACGAGCTGAAGCACGTCAAGTTCTGTCAGTTTGCCTTCGACCTCAAGTACGACAGCGTGTGTGTGAACCCCTACCACTACGAGAGGGTAGCATCCCCCGCCACAGGTAACCCTGCACACCTGCTGCCCGCTGTGATTGGTCTGATTGGCCGTGAGTCATCGGCTGGAGCAGCGTTTGGTTTCAGGTTTCTTTGCT